GTGCCTTTGTGTTTTGTTATTTTTGTGGAGACTTTGTTATGCCGAATTTGAGGTAATGTTCTTCATGAAAGTTGTCCCTAACATATTGAAGTATAACATAAATTAAATATGAAATTTTTGGAGATCATTTGGGGGCATTCGGAAGTCCATTTTTGGACCATCTCAAAACTGCTGGGAATACTGTTCACCCGACCTTCTTGTCTTTTCGAATTTTTATAAATTTTTTCAGGTCTTTTTTCAACAAAGTTCCTTCACAAAAACTTTTAAGAACACTTTTTTATAGGACATATAAAAATTTGAAAAGCTTTCTAAAAATAATTGAGTACTGATTGAGATGCATTTTGAAGGCCGGGCGGCTTGTCTGAACGAACTGATTTTTGTCTAATTTCGAGTGACAAAAAGAGACATTTACAGTTAGAACTGGGTTTTGTGCTCTGCATGAAAATTGTTATCAAGATGTTTTCTATGAAATATCCAAAATTCAGAATTTTTGGAGTTGAATTACTATTTATTTTGAAAGGATTTCGGTTGCTGTGCAACCGCCCATAACAGCCCCGGTTCTGTGCAAGTTCGGTTTTCTCTCTCTCCGGGACTATTCGGTGTTATTGTTGCATATGAGAGGCGCGGCTTTTTGTTAGATGAGTACAGATTTAGTGGCATTTGACTAATCGAAAAGATGAGAATTGGTTTGAGTGCTTGAATGCTCGTGTGATCATATAATGCCCTGATGCGTCTTACGCGGGGATTTAACCCATCTTGATGCATTTTACGCGAGACGATGCTCGATTTATCGGATGCCCGGCGAGGGCCTGGATGCCAATCGTGGTGGAGGCCGGATTGATGCTCCTCATAGAATGTCGTCTTGATGTGTTTAACGCGGGACGTTGCTGTCGCCGACGTAGCGGGACGATGCCCGGTTATGCCGAAAGATCGATAACCTGATGCGTTTTACGCGGGTTCGAGGGAGTCCGAGGGGCCGTTGATAATCTGGACTTAGTGAGTGCGATATGCATTATGGAATGCCATGTTTGAGACTAATGTTGGGCATGACTAGATTATTAAGTGTGCTATGCATATTCATGCATTGATTTGGGTTGTTATGCTCGATGAGTATTTGCCATGTTGTGGCGGTTCTCTAACGTGCAGGGCTTGTGTATGTGCCAAGGCGAGGTAAGGGCGCCTATGATTGATGTGGCACGTTGATTGATAGAATTGCATGTTTAGAACTGTCCGAAGGTACGCGTTAACCTAAGCGAGACTTAGGTAGTTATTTATTGAGATTTATTCTCATTATTGTATCCCAAACATTTCAAACCCCCGACCATGAACCTGAATGGTCCATCGCAACGTTTTAGGGTACCGATGCATATGGAGCATATGTTGACGGAATACCCGGTGGGAGAGGATAGGATTTACATTAGGCACGCTAGCACTGTTTAGGTAGACGAGGGCGAGACCTTTTGGAAACCACATACCTTTTTGGCTTGGTTCTATCGGGATGGAGACGAGTTGTTTGGTCCACTCCGCGGATTTGATGTTCCCCCTGATGACGGAGTAGAAGAGTGGGACCCCATGGAGATCCTTCCACCAGGGGGAGTTGTTACTAGTCCGGACACCGGTCCTAAAGATTCGGATCCCGAGTCGAAGCCTATGGAGTCTGACCCCGAGCCGGAGCCTGTTGAATCCGAACCCGAGCCGTCGATCCGGGATTGCCTAAGTCCTTCGATTCCGATCTACGGACGCCGCCTGAGTAGCATGGGGGTGATTGATAGGTTTAGAAATCCAGACTTTAGAGAAGCCCTCTTTTGATTAAAGGAGTTAGGCTAACCAACCACCTGACCCTTTTTGTTACACGTGGTCCGCAGTTAATTGCCTCATAGAAGGCTTGCAAGTGTATATGTCGTTACTAATTTTATGTTTATAAAAGTATTTCATTGATGTGTATCAAATGTCTCTCTACTATCCCGTTTAATTGTATGTTGTATGGCGAGTTCGAGTTTGCTTTCGTTTGCGTTATCATTGTGATTCGATTGGGTCAACGACAAGTCCTGGAATGTCGCATACTTAACGACCTAGGCGGAATGTTGCGTGCTCGTGGGGATCGGGGCGTGACACTTTGAGTCTCGATATCATGCATACATGCATATGTGTTTTGTTTTGCAGGTTCTAAATAATCCTCAACAAATGAATGAAATGAAAGATGAATATGGTGTAATTCATTTTTCACCCTTCTAAAAAATCAGAAATGATCGTTCTACATGATGAGCCAAAAGAGGAGTAACTCAGTATCGATTCCAATTTACCCTTCATGAATTCTTTTCTGACTTGTACTATTTTTTTTATTGATAGGAGTTATTAAGCATTCAAGAAAGGGAAATCAAGTGAAGGGTAAATTGTATTGATTCCACTTTTCCATTTTGATATCATTCTTGACTTGGTTCTCTTTTCTCATAGGAGAACATCCAGATGTTTGAAAATAAATGCGAGAGAAAGGTAATGTTGTATCATTTCCAATTCTCCAATCCTTAAAGAATCATGTTCTAATACATTCTTTCTCATTCTTTTATAGGGTTGCCAAGTTTCCATGCCACAGGTAAGTACCCTTCACCCTAAAATCAAATGGAAATCAAATGAAGAAGTTTCGTCACAAAGAAAGATTCTTTAATGTTTTTTCAAAAACAAGCACAAAAGTGAAAATTGAGAAAAACAAACACAAAAGTGAAAATTGAGAAAACAATTTTGTGTAAAGGTTTTGAACATCATCTTTATCCAAAAATTGTCTTTATGCTTGGTGGATCAATCATTTTGAATCAAAATTCCCTGCGAAGATTAATCAATTCTAATGATCTCAACAAAATGAAAGCGAGAAATACTTAGAATGAGGAAATGCGAGCCATTTCCAAACACGTCCTATAAACATTTTGAGAGTTGAACAGAAAAGAAAAATCCGTGTCGTTTAAAGACAAGAGATTCATTCACTAAAGTACATTGATCACAATGAAAAGAAGCATTTATTTCCTCTATCTTACACATTACAGGTGTCCATAGTTAGCGGTAGAATTGATGGGCTGGGCAAAATAAATGAATTTAATAAGGGTAACTGGGTTGAATAGTTAATATGGGCTGAAATGAATAAGAAATTGAAATATGAGAATTTGGGCTTTATTCAGACCAAGCCCAAGAGCCTGCCCGAGTTGACCCAACTCAGACCTTTTGGGTCCGGGTCAGACCAGCGAATCGGGCGGGGTTCCCCTAACCCTGTTCAAAATCCATTTTCCCAAAATAAAAAAAATATAAAACATATAAAAATTCAAAAATTCAGAAAAATGAAAAAATATGGGAGAAGCTAAAAAAATGTAGAATTCTCTTAGTTTAGGGCTTTTCATATATACTTTAAACTTGAACAAAAAAATTTGATCCCAAAACTGAATAAGCCTTTACGGCTTTACTTTATGAATTTTTAATTGCCTTTTCTTTTAGAGACGGTTTTAGGTTGCTGTTTGGGCAATTTCATTTTGATTTCATTTGATTGCGTACTTTAAATACATTGCTCATTGTTCTTTTTAGAATGGTTAGAATGAAATTTAAAATTCTCGATTAGTAAAAAACTTCCATGACATGTTTGGTTAATAAATAGTCAAGTTTAGGTACCGAAAGGGCTTTAGTTGAAAAAACTAGTATAATCAAGTTCCCGATCCCTAAGAATCTCTGGTGGCTAATGTTTTCGAAATGACATTCCCGCATCTCGATTAGGGTTTCTAGCCGACCCTTAATCGTGGCTAGTGGCGACTCCAAATTGAACATGTAAATTTAAATAATCAATGTCACGTGAGGTATGGACTGAAGAAGAGTCCCATAAAATACCTCTAAACCTATACTCCCCGAGGCGGCCCTCGAGAGGTAGATCACGACGAGGGTTTTTCATGGTATTAACCCTTTTAAAAGTTACAAAACACTATTTGCATTTCGAAAAACCCCAACCTAAAGTCCTTTGCATTTTCATAATGACCGTCTCCAAAAGCTGATCTAAACGCACCCGTGATTTTCCAAGGAAGTTAAGAACAAATAGTGCTCATGGGATTTGGCGAGACTAAGTTTGGGTTTTGTTGTTCTAACTTTTGTTCTTGTTATTCACCTTAAACTTAAAGGGCAATATACCGATTCCGGTGTCTTTTGTACTATGAACCAAACCTAAAAAAAAGAGACATTACTCGCCTATCCAATGGTGAAGCTCATAACTTCTATTAATTTAAGATCCTTATAGTTAGCATTGGAAGACTTGAGAGGTAAAAATGTATCGATAATCAGTAGAGGAGGGAAGAAATCGCAATTGAAGAGTCGAAAAGAGCCTCTAACAAATTCAAAGAAAAGATAATTTATATAATTCATCAACTCTTTATTACCATAATACCTAAATCCGTAGTATTCTCTCAATTTGAATTGAACTTTGGCATTACATATGTTAACGAGAGAACCTATTTGTACCCTTTAGTTTTATCCCCTCTTTTGGAAAAAAAGATCCTTTTTATACTAAGCGGACCAAAATACCTCTTTAATTTACTCTCTTACTGGTTCTCTTCCTCCTGTCTCCTCTCAAGGGATTCTCGTTGAAATATTCAACTTTGATGCTCTTCTGAAAGAAATTATAGTAGCTAGAAAATTTCTTTCGGGAGAAGATTTAAGGAATGAATCTTATTGATTTCACTTCATCCGCATTTACTAGTCTTCAAAAACCCTCTCTTGTCCTTCTCTTTCTACATCAGCATTGTGACATCCTAAAGTAAAATAGCATTGACGTGCCAAAAGTGCAATCGAGTCCTAAAGAGAATCATTTCATTTTTACGCCACTAAAAAAATTAAAATTTATTTTTGTCAAGTGAATGGAAAAAGCCAAAAAGTTCATTCTCCTGAAATTGGCGGGTCGGATTCCAATGGGCTATAATACGGGTTCAATCCCCCGGCCCGGACGGAGCCCAAGAAGTACAGGACACGAGAGAGAGAATTACGAATATCAAAATGGAAGAAGACAAACGATGGCAGGGATGATTCAAATTGTAGTTGCAGCAAGAGCGAAGTCGCGAGAGATGTGATCAAGAACAGCAACTTCTTCTCCTTCCTCCTGTTGTTGGTGATCTAGGTGATGGTCTCATCCGCCATGGACCCACCTCGCAAACAACAGGTTACTCTCTCTCTCTCTCTCTCTGATTAGCTCGCTCGCTCGCGTACTGCTGAATTATCGATTCTGGGTCGACTTCTTTTGCTCCCCTTGGCAAGACGTGTGGTTATTCGTGGGTTAGTGTGTTAAATTCACGCGGAATGGGTTCTGATTATCTGTTGGTCGCGCTGGATTTTGGGTCGCTTGGAATTGGTGCATTTTCGCGCGGCAATTGCTAGGCCTAAGCAAAGAAGTGATGTTAGAGTAATTAGATGTAGTCTGGCTCTTGTGGGGGGGATCAGTTTTTGAGTGATGGAGCCTCCTTAATCTGTTCATCTTGATTGTGTGCCGTGATTGGTGTTGAGATTGTTGCTCGGTGGTCAAATCAGGTTTCGTTGAGGGGTGCGAGCGCCAGGGAGATTACGAGGGATGCTCTTCTGGAGAAGGTGTCTCAGGAGAGGGAAGCCCGGAGCTACGCAAGACGTGCCAACGCAGCTGCTCTGTTCATTCAGGTGCGTTGCTCCTTTTGGGTCTTAACTTTTTGTACTGTTACACTGAAGTACCGAGCAGAGATGCACTTGTTCGAATTTTTGATGTTGTGGCGTTGAGGCTGTTGAATTAGAAGAGTGCAGGACCGTATCGTCTAACCTATCGCTCGTAAGAGATTTCCTTTCGATTCATCTAGTTCCTTTTTGTATGTGGTCTGGTGTAGAGGACCTTTCTTTAGGATGAACGACCTATGTCTATTGGATGTACTGGTAGGTAATGCTACAGCATTTACTGATTCGTTATGCTGATTAATCTTGCTTTCCGTAATCCAGACCATTTCCATTGATGTGTAAAGTGGAATTTCTTCTCTGCCAATATGAACATATTTGCTTCCATGTTTTTTCAGAGAGTATGGAGGCGTTTCTATGTGACAAGAATGGCAGCTTTGCAGCTTCGAGAAGGATGGGAGACCTTGGTGGATCATCAATCTGGTTTGATGACCAGAACATGGATTTCTTGCAGCCTTTTGCGACCTTTCCTATTCTTTGTTAGATGTTTGTCAGTCCAGCGTCAGACTATTCAACCCAGAGATATTGCCTGCATGCAGAAGTGCTTTAAGATTCTATTGGAAAGTATTCACTCTACTGGTATGGTAATTAGTAACTTTGCGAGAATCAAGAACAATGATTTATTATAGTTTCACTTTCCTTATACATCAAATTGGGACTGATTTGAAATTAAAGAGTAGCTGTTAGGTCAATTGTGTGTTCCAATGCTACCAAGTTGATTGAGTACTGGATGATTTGGAGCTTCATGTGCCTTGTTAGGGGAAGTTAGCAAGTGCTTTCACTAGTCGTAGTATGGTTTCCTTTTTTTTTTTTTTTTTTTTCAGTTTTAAAAACCCATAAGTTAAGATGTATATTCTGGCAAGGCCATGGGTGGGCCCATGATGTTGGCAGGCGTCGCTGTCCCCCAAGCCACTAGCTGCTTGGTGCAATTTTTATCAATCATTTGCTATATTATCTGAGATTTCAAGTACTAATTGTTGTAATTTACATATGTTTAAAGTTTCTATTCTTGCCACTCTAAGATCTTGTGTCTGCCAGTAATTGTCGAGGCCTTCTCAGTTTCTTTTGGAGGCATGTCTGAGCAGAACAGTACACTGAACCTCGTAAAAAATTACAGTACTTTAATTTGGAGGTGGATTTTAAGAGAGATTCACATTTTTGATTAAATGCTGCACATATTCTTAACAGGCTATATAGGGAAGATTAGTTGTTTTATTTCTTTCAAAATTTTGATCTAGTTGTTCGAGAAAGTAGCAATCACAGTGGACAGAATCTGCAATTATATAGGATGAGGAGACAAGTCTCTACATATTATGCTTTTTGTCTCTTGTCTTCAAATTTTATGTGGAATACCTTGAAATATCTTATTGTCATTATAGGTCAAGCCGATAAATAAGGGTCAGTCGATCAAGCTGATAAATAAGTGTCACAAACTATAGTGTTCCAAAGCCTAGTATCCATTGTTCGTAGAGAATGTTTTACAAGCAGTGTAAATTACAATATAAAATTCCCTTCTCCACATGGATTATTTAATGACAATAAGTCGCTTAAAGAAGACTGAGTCTGTTGGATTAAATGATAATCTAAAGGCCTGTGTTTCTTAAATAGGTAGCAGATTGTCCCCAGGTTATGAAATGGTTCAAAATTTCAATGTTGATGAAACAGTGACTCTTGCTCAGGGTAATATTTGTTTACTTGGCCAATCTTCTCTGTAGTGGCCAGAGTCTATGAGGCAAAGCTATGTTGCTTACAGTGGCCACATACTCGATTCCCTTCCTCTCCCCCCATCATACACTTGCAGAAATTGCTGCTTTGTTAAAGAATGATGTCGAATGGTGTCTTGAGCTGATTTTCCTTGTCGTCTTGAGTTAGAGTGTAAAGTTGCCTTTTTACTGTACTTTATTGCCTGTTTACTGCATAAGTGGTCCATTGTAAGTAGACACTGTATCTAAAATAGGGAATCCTGGTGCACAACGCTTCCCTCATTGGGGGGGTTTGGGAAGGGGTTGATGTACAGTCTTGTGGTTGATTTTCCAGAGTGGTTGTTTCCGCACACCCATCATTAAAATTGTTAATGTTTCTTTTGGATTGGCTTTGTTGTTGGGTGCATATCAAGTTATGTCAAATTAGATGCTTTTGCCTTTGCATTCTGTAGATCTGAGGAGAAACTTCTGCTGCTTGGCCATCGGCACGCTTGAAGAGAGAAGGACCTGGAATTATCAGGCACAGAAGCTGATCGCACTGTGCTCCTTCGTTCTTGCATCATGTGACACAAATTATCCTGGATCAAAAGATATGGTTGTTCTTACCTCATTAGCAATGCGTCTACCAGTCGTCTTAACTGATCTGAATGGATGGAAGATTTTACCTCAGGATCATATCAGGGATGTCGATCTAGCAGTCAAGAATTTGATCTGCTATATGGGAAGTAAAAGTGGGCTTTACATATCTGTTAGAAAGTACATTATGAAACTGGATGTTCTTTTGCCATCACAACATGGTGGTATGATACAGACCGAAGATAGATTCTTGATCACGGCAAGTGCCTTAACTTTAGCTCTCCGGCCATTTCATGAGATAAAGTCCAATAAAGATGGACCAAGCCTTGTGGATATTCAGTATGCTCCAAAACAGTACTGTATATCTCTCCTGACAATTCCTTGGCTTCTTCAACGATTACCAGCTTTTCTGGTACCTGCTTTGAAGCATAAGTCTGTTCTTTCACCATGCTTCCAGACTCTTCTGGTAAGGTTTATCCAACAGCCACGTAAAGATTCTTTTCCATTGGTTTTTGGCATGTCAGATTTTCTAACTGTATTTGGTTTGCTTTTACCTAGTCCTTTTTGCTTCTTCAAAAATTTGTTTTTAGTTTAATTTGCAGTACCTAGAAAAGGGTGTGCAGGGTAAGTGGGTATGCGATAGGACCAGTTTGGCTGGACTTCTTATGAGCAAAAAGTTGCTTAGTGATTTTCTGCCAATTCTTAAAACATTACTCAAACTTTGAGAAGTTGTAATAATTATATACATCTATTTGTCAATATTTGTAAAGTTTAAAAGGTTACAGACATATAAAATCAATTCGTGAAAGCCACAACATATGAGAAAAGTAAAAAGCAAAAGTTGCATGGTCCAGTGATCAGGATACTATTTTAATTCTTTGCTCAAGAGTCGGATTCCTCATCTTTTGGTACAAAGAATCTGAAACTGTATCTTGCTTGATTGGACATAGAGTCAACCACTTGCCCTTGCTTATTCTTTTTTTTTTTTTTTTGATCGAAGCCCTTGCTTATTCTAAAATGTTCTTTTCTCACTGTAATATGGTGGAGATGTGCAAAATTGGATATTGCGAGTTTTTTGTTCAAGCCACATGTATGATTGGACATAGAGTCAACCCCTTCCCCTTGCTTATTCTAAAATGTTCTTTTCTCTGACATTGCTCCATCGTAAGCTTGTGCGCTTTACATAATGATACAGCTTGATCAGTTTTTTAGGATATGATGACTGGGGATGTGCACGACTTTTTTCCCTCAAGTTTTCCGAATGACATCTCCCTGTAGATATAGTGGAGATGTGCAAAATCGGATATTGTGAGTTAATTGTTCAAGCCACGTGTATGTCATAAGGATTTTCTACTTAAAATTTAATACATAGTCGGTTACTTCAAAAGCTTAATCTGGTAGGTGGAGGGAGAATACATGTATATAGGGCCATATATAAAGGCCATAGACAAGATACTTTAACACCCCCTTTCATGTGCAAACAAAATTGATAATGGCTCATAGAATTAATGGGGTTGCACACACGAAATAAACTGGGATGAAACTTTGGTAACTTGAGATTAAGTGCGTAGCCGTTTGCTCTAAAAGCTTGAGGCAGTAGGTGGAGGGAGACTGCATGTGTATAAGGCCCAATACTCCATAGATAAGCAATGCGGGGTTCTTTAACAACCTTAACCTGTCTTGAGCTGTTCACATTTTTTTCTTAAGTTTTCATAGGAGATATTCTGCTGATTTATCTCTAATCTTATATCTCTGCTAATAACATGCACATTCTGCAAAATGGGCAGATACAGTATTGTGCCTTTGTATTTTTCACCCTTTATCTCTTTCTTGGTTAATCATTGATTTGATATTACGTTTTGAGTAAACATGACCCGCTACCTTCTATCGGAAACCCTCCAGTGCATAATAATCACTTGTTTAATGAAACTATTACATAGCATTTAAATTCATGGGCACTGATCAAAATTTGGCAGGTGATGGCAGATGTTGAGAGGAAAGCTTTTATCCGACATGTCAGATATTCATCAGCAAGGGACTCTCTGTTGGCATAAGGCAATTCCTCCAGTTGGTTGGGCTCTTGCAAATGTCATATGCCTAATGACAGGGAATGACAATGGTTCTCTAGACACTCCGTTATTTTGTCAAGATGTAGAACATGGATTATATGTTCGAGTTGTTATTACTCTAGCAGAGAACTTTTTGGATTGGATTGATAATGCTAGATCCTTCAGAAAGGAAAATCAGAGATGTGAATGTGACCGTGGAACTTTTGAGGGGTCCACTGATTTATCTATCTTTAAGAGAGAGTCCATATTGGGGCTTTCAGAAAGGTCTTACGTGGACTTACTGAGGCCTGTTTATCATCAATCACATCTGACAGACCTTTTGGCTGTCTTGAGTACAGATACGGGTGCTCAGCGAGCTGAAATGCTGGCATCGGAGAATTTGGATAATTTGGGAAAGTTGGAACTGGTTCACATTTCGTACTTCTACTCTTATATCCTCAGATTATTTTCTGTACTGAACCCTGTGGCTGGATCATTGCCTATCCTTAACATGCTATCCTTTACTCCTGGATTTCTTGTCAGCTTGTGGGGATTGCTGGAAACTAATCTTTTTCATGGTTCCTCTGATTGCGCAAGAGATCATCCAGGGAGCAGAAAAAGTGGCACTTCTGACGTAAGACAGCAGACATCTAAGTCTGGTGGCGGTAAATGGACCAGTGTACTGCAGATAATCACTGGCAAGTCTCAGGCCAGTACTGGTAGTGGTCTTACGGACTCGACTGATTCTCATATTAGGTCTGGCCTGGTGGATGAAGATTCTTGTGATGTGTGGGATGTAGAGCTGCTGAGGTCTGGCCCTCAAGGTCTTTCTAAAGATATGTCTTGTCTGCTGCATCTGTTCTGTGCAACCTATTCGCACCTACTGCTTGTCCTTGATGACATAGAGTTCTATGAAAAACAGGTAATCAGGTTCAGGATTTCTTTTTCCAGATAATCTTAGGCCCTGTAAATGATTTTTGATAGGTAGTTTCTCCATGGGCTAGGTTCCTTTCAAGCTCGAGGAGCAAAGGAGAATTACATCGGCACTCAATACACTTGTTTATAATGGCTTATCGCGTAGCAGTTGTCTGCAGAATAAACCAATGATGGAGTCTGCAACCCAGTGCTTGCATTTAATGTATGAAAGGGATTGCAGGCACCACTTTTGTCCCCCTGATTTGTGGCTTTCACCTGCCAGAAAGAGCCGGCCTCCTATTGCAATAGCTGCGAGAACTCATGATGTTCTTTCAACTAAATCAGATGATTTATTGTTGGTTTCCAGCATGGGTTCTATTATCACAACTATGCCACATGTATATCCATTTGAAGAAAGGTAAGTAGAGAGTTATCAGAAGGCTATGTTTCACTTTTATGTCTTGATATTTCTTTCTTTTTCACCTTTTCTTCTCCTGTGCAGTTTTTTATAACATTTCTTTCAACATTTTTCTCAATAAATAACCTATATCGCCCTGGTCAGCCATTTATCGATAACTTTCAATTATAATGCATGCAAAAAGTTTCTCATGCTACACAATCCACATGATCCAGCTCTTAAATGTGGAGACAGTCACAGTGAAGATGAGACTAAAATTTACAGTATACCACTAAGTTAATGAAAGACAAATACACAATTTTTCACCATGTGAGAAGCTGCAAACTGGCTGTAAGAGAGCAGCTGACCTGTCGCAACAGCTTGTGCATTTGCACCTTTTCTTTCAAGGAGATAACTGGCAGGACTTTTAATTTATTGATGTCCCTCCATTGTTATATGTTGTATCAACATGATGATGCTTTAAACTTCATTTTTGGTGACCAGCCTGATATGTATTATTGAAGTGCTTACCATGGTTGCAGAGTTGAGATGTTCAGAGAATTTATCAAGATGGATAAAGTCTCTCGAGTCATGGCTGGTGAAGTAGCAGGGCCTGGTTCTAGAAATATTGAGATAGTCATTCGGAGGGGGAATATTGTTGAAGATGGATTTCGACAATTAAACACCTTGGGTTCAAGATTGAAGTCATCTATCCATGTATCCTTTGTCAGTGAATGTGGACTTCCAGAGGCTGGTCTAGACTATGGTGGATTGTCTAAGGAGTTCTTAACAGATTTGTCAAAAGCTGCCTTCTCCCCCGAGTAAGTTTTACATGGTCCCTTTTTCCTTTCTTTTCTTCTTTGTATACTCTTTTCCCAGGAGAAACCATTCATGGGAATCTTTTTAATCGTTGAAGGTATGGACTATTCACCCAAACCTCAACTGAAGACCGGCTTCTGATGCCAAATATATCTGCAAAGTATCTCGAAAATGGATTGCAGATGATTGAATTTCTTGGAAGGATTGTTGGCAAAGCTCTCTATGAGGGAATATTGTTAGATTACTCTTTTTCACACGTCTTTGTGCAAAAGTTGTTGGGGCGATACAGCTTCCTTGATGAACTGTCAACACTTGATCCTGAGGTTTATAGAAATCTCATGTATGTCAAGGTAAATCCTTGTCAAAACTTGGTAATATCATTTCCACCTCATTTGTGTAGTGTAATCTCCTGTTGATTTACTTGTTGCTGAAAGGTTAAGGTGTTGATTCAAATTTCAAGTAGCATTTGCAGTCATCATATTGCAACTATCTCTAAAATGTTCTTCGAGGGTGATGTGTATACTGCAAGACATATTAAAACAAGGAGAAAAAATTGAAACAAAGTGACTGAGCTATGAGTTTTCAGTGGATCCGATCACCCAAGTACCTTTATCAAGCACCCTTTCGAGTGAAATCCAATGACTCTCTAATTTTCAAAACCACAACATCTGCTGCCCAAATGTATGAACGACAATGACAACTTTAATAGCATAGTCACATGTAGCCAGTGTGGTTAGGTGATTGATAATGAAATCTAGCCTAATATAATTCATAATTAAATCTAGCCACATATACTTGAACACATGATAAAAAAGTTTGACGAATATAATTTTCCCTTCTCATCACATACCTATTAAGCCTAGCTAAATAACGTCACAGTTTACGTTGCATTTTCCTCATTTTGGTTTAGCATGCAGCAAAGACTATGTTAAGCATGACTTGAAATCGGTACTAGACATTCATGATGTCTTATTAGAGAGAGAAGGATTTATTGAAAATTTTATGTATTCCTGATTATAAGCACAGAGAGATAAGGTATAGCAATAGTAAATAATGCTAACCAGAAGTTTCCCTAGACGAGGATTGCATGTAGCTTATAACTAATACAAGTTCAGTGCCCGGGACTGAACTAGCATTAAAAGTAGAGAATGTGAAGGATAGCGGGGTAGACCAATGATACTACAATGACGCATGGGAGACTTCACCTATTATTTTGTGCGTTCCGGTTTTCTTGCAACTTGGCTGTCCTCTTCTATCATCTGATCTAACCTTCTGCAGATAGGATTTTGGAGAGTTTAAAAAGTTGAAGTTAAATTTTCTGTGTTAGTTGTACACTAGATTATGTTGTTTTGCTGGTAATTTGTTCTGTCTATTTATTAGAATCAACTTTGTATGATACTTGGTTGGTGTAACTTCGACAGCACTTCGATGGTGATGTAAAGGAACTCTCTCTGGATTTTACAATTACAGAGGAATCTTTTGGTAAAAATCGTGTTATTGAACTCAGACCAGGTGGCAGGGATATCTGCGTGACAAATGAGAACAAGATGCAGTATATTCATGCAATTGCAGATTATAAACTTAATCGGCAGGTGAATCATACGTTTGTACGTTGTACTTAAGTTTCCATTTTGTATACTAGATTTAACTCTCCGTTCTTGCCAAATTGTAGATATTGGCATTTGCAAATGCTTTCTACAGAGGGTTAACTGATCTTATATCACCATCGTGGCTTAAGTTATTTAACGCAACTGAATTTAATCAGGTATCTTCCCGTCACCTGACTCATTTGAACTGTTCTGTTGTGTCGTGGATATTTTAAGCTGCTGTGGGCCTCCATGAACTGACTTAAGTAGTTCTTCTATCATGGCAGTTTTTTGTCTTTCGTAGAGTTTGCTAACTTTTTATTGCTTAAGACAGCCGAGTTGCCTCTTTTTGCATATTAATATATTATCCTTGATTGAAAAGATTGTCACCATACTGTTGAGTCCAAACTGCTCATGGATAACTGGAGCACACTGATTTTGAGATATCTTGTTTTGTTAGCTGTTTGACATATTCCTTTTCGTCATAATCTAGGTTTTCATTGTTCCTTTGTTAAAGAAATACTGATATTTGATGTATTGGCACAGTTGCTTTCTGGTGGATACCATGATATTGATGTCGACGATTTGAGAAGTAATACACGCTATACTGGTGGTTATTCTGAGGGAAGCCGGACAGTAAAACTTTTCTGGGAGGTATATGAACTGCAAAGGAAGCTGTTTACATTCAGATAGTGTTTACCCTTTGTCCTGTATAATGATACTGCATATTTTGCATTTACCTATGTCTGTTTATTTGCTTTTTCAAAGCTTAGTACGGAGTTATGATACTTTTTTCTCAATACTGATTCTTAGCTTTTGCATGGGGATGTCATGTATCCTCATTCAGTCGGTTTGTGCACATTGGCTTCTCAGTCATCTGTTCTTAATGGTTGACTTTGTCCCTAGGCCTATAGGAGCCACCTTTTCTTCTCTTTAAGGAAGAAATGAAGGAACAGACTGAGGGAAGGAGGGTTGGTATTAGTACTGCTGCACTAAGGCTTCAATATGATAGATGTATGTACCAGTGGAATCAGATGGCTGGCAGCTACTGTTTTACCTGTAATGTATAGTTTAGGCCTTAGGTAATTCAACTGACGGGAAACTCAAATTCTTTTCCTCTTTTTTGTGGAAAATTTAATGTTCTATACATGGATTTTATTACATAAAGTACCTGTGATTTTTCTTCCAATTGATTCAGAGTGCATAAATTTTCTACATGATGCAGCTCCTTAAAGAAATATACAGGGACATTTTCCTGAACTTCCTGAGTTATTCCTGACAGTAAGAGAATATGGTAGCGTCTATCCAATATTTCCTTTTGTCTTCCCCTGGATTACAATCTCCTCAGTTACAACTAGTATTAGTTGTAGGACACCAATACACGAGCCTTGAGGATTACAATAAAACCCACTGATTATTCTAGTTGAATCTATGCTAGTCAAACATCGATGTTTAATAGCATAAGTGTCAATGCTATTGCATAGATGGAAGAGATCTTCTTCAAGTTTTTTGTATCTTTGGAATGCTGTATAGAATTTGATATTCACCTGATTTTCTGCTTTGATGTAATGGTAAAATGATTTGATTTTGTTTTTTCGAGCTGTAATCATGCACAGGACAAGCATTCTGCCTTACTTTCTAAGCAGTTGTTTTATATTTAAAATTAAAATAGTTTTGTTTTTCCTAAATTTTTGCTGCAGGTAATGAAAGGATTTGAGCCAAAGGAGCGGTGTATGCTTCTTAAGTTCGTGACAAGCTGTTCTCGAGCTCCTTTACTGGGGTTTAAACACTTGCAGCCAACTTTTACTATTCATAAGGTTTGCTTGTGATCCGGTTGTTTCCATGTGGTATTTGCCTCTTGATTAATAGTTTTGTTTGCAAGATCTTGTTCCTTTGTCTTTTGTTTCTTCATGGAATGGAAGAGGCAACAAAATACGTAGACAAATAAAAATTCCACAAAAACTTCCATGTGTGTTTGGACACGAAGACTATGCCACGAAATGGAAGCAGCTATAGCTATGAAGTAGCCAGAAGCTTGTAATGTTCCAAAATAAGCATGAGATGAATATGTTAGTCAAAAGAACTCTGATTGATTCCTATTCTAAGTCCTGTGATTCATGTGGCTTATGTCGGGGCGATCTTGGTTATCATATCCTCTTTATCTTCTCTAAACTGAACTTCCATAACATCGAATTTAGCTGAAGTTTGGTGGTGGCATGTGAGTGGAAAAGAGATAACTTAGCTTGAGCGTGTTTGAAGAGTAGACCTACCATGTTTATGCATCTTCTTCTGGTTCAAATGTCTATGAACTCAAGATGCCTGCAAAATGTTTCGCATAAAAGTTCTGAACTTTTTCTTGATTATATGTGAACGATTCCTTTAATTTTCACTGGCACTTGTAATCATGTCATGCGTATTGCTACACAGTGGTAGATGTGATGCTTCTACAAAGGTTTGGCATTGGCAATTACGAAATATTTGAGGTTAACATACAATATAGTTTGCATTTTATGTATAGAATGAAGGGATTATCTATCTAGATATGTTAGAGGTAGAGCAACTTATGGCTGGAGCCTTGGCACAACAGCAAGTTGCTCCAATTTGATAGGGAGGTAGTTAAGGTCATTTAATAGCCTCTCTGTTACGCAGATGCAAGACTGCATACATATGACTCTGGCCAGACTTCAATATGTGAACTCATGCATTAGGAGATGTGAAACTAGTTCCTTCAGAAAGCAGAACAGAGGGCAGAATGGCATGAACATTAGGTTTAGAGGTTTATGATTCCGTTCTTACTGTTGTTAATGCTGTTAGCCTAATTAAAACAAATGGGAACTCTACACCCATGAGCATGAGCAAGTTTGTTACAGCAACTATCTTCTGATCTGCTTGAAAAAAGTAACTGGACTTGCACCAGGAAAGCTGATTATTGATTATCCAAAAAATTGATGCTTCTTTTTATCCAACTTGAGGTCAAACAGGAGCAAAGATTTGATCCTTCTGACTCCCTGGTTGATTAGGGTTTATCATGGTTGTGTTTCTTGGTAGATGCCTGATCGAAGAAATTAATTGTGAGGTACTATTATCGAAATCATATATAGAAGGGAAAATCTAATCTTAAATTTCGTATGTTATGCAGGTTGCTTGTGATGTACCTGTCTGGGCAACAATTGGAGGTCAGGATGTAGAGAGACTTCCATCTGCTTCCACATGCTACAATACCTTGAAGGTAGATAGACTGGGAGCAAATTCTTTTTTTGATTCTGCACGTGCACAACTCTTGAAGGAACCAACTTTAACTTCCTTACACTACAAACTATGTGATTTATAGCAACCAGTATCTTTTCATTGGCTGCAGCTTCCCACATACAAGCGTGCAAGCACGATGAGATCAAAGCTTCTTTACGCGATTAGTTCCAACACAGGGTTTGAACTTTCTTAGCAGCTTTCTATCCACACTGCCGCTTCTGGTAATTACTCTTTTTGTGATCTGCGCATCTTAGTGGTTTAGCTTGGCAAGAGGCGGTGAATATTTGAGTGCTTTATTATATAATTAATGGTCCCACTTTACCAATAGATTGATTGGCAACGGGCATGGGGTTAATTTTTATTTTCTCTTGTTACATTGATCATGCGTGGTCTACGACTGCAGATGATTAAACCTGCAAATCATTCTTATCATTTTGAAACAATAGTTTATGCTTAAGTAGGCTAGGAACGGGTTGTACTTATAAGGTAAAGTGAAATAATATCTAATTGTAAGGGTAAGTAGACAGAGAACGTTTTCCTCTCCTTTGTAGAAGTTGCTATGAAAGAACTACTTCAAAAACACAATCTACCATACACCAAGAAATAGAATTGGATAGGATAGCTGCTTATCCCACTAATTTACCGTTGCTGCTTCTCTTTTGGCATGTTCTTGTACATATCATCACATCAATATGACATTGCCAGGGTTAAACAATCATTATTAGTCCCCTTACATGTAAGGGAAGAAAGCACGGAGGCTTTTATATTTGGAAGAAGCATCAAGCAACTGTTGCCACTAAAAGCCATGAACACTTGAAGTATATTGGAAATTCGGATCCACAAACAATTTAATGCAGACAAAATCTTTTTAACTAAAGTCATTGGAGTTCCTTATATATGCCTCGATATCCTAATTTTCAAGAGGAAAAGGCTACTATAAATTATCGTAGCTGCAATACCGATGCTTTCGACACTCAAGAAATAAGAGAGAATCCTTGAGAAAGGAGGTCTGCTGCCAAGGCCATGTTAGCAGCTTCAGAGGGATGGAATCCATCCCAAAAAACATAACCTGTAGCATTTGTGCAAGTTCCAATGGACCTTGTATTGCAAAGCAAGGATGTTTCCACAGTACCCGTTCCACAGCAAGCCTTCCTAGATTCAAAGAACCCTGTAACAAGAGACCAATTCAACAATGAAAATTAGGTTCGGTCTTCACTGTCAGTTGGCCTGGCATTGCAATGCATCTCATGTTCTCATGCAGTGGGTACAGAGACTGATGATGAGACAATAACATTAATGTGATGGAAAATATACATTCTCTATGCTTTACCACGAGATCACATACTTTATTTTAAGTCAACTTTCAGGTTAGTCTGTTCATACAGATGAATGTCTCACATATTCAGGAAGGTTTAAATGAACTTACAATGTATGGTAATGGATTATGCAGAGTATGGAGATCTTGCCCTCAGTAGTGAGTAGCTTACCGTTCTCAGCAGGTTTTGTGACCATGTCCAAGAGGGGCTGGTAGATGTCGAAGACCACAAGTTTGAGACCTGGGAGCCTGTTCTGCAAACTCTGAGATGTGCTGTTTAGTTTTTTATTGAACAAAACCGCGTCTTGGTTCAATCTTGCTACGCACTGGTCGCTTCCTGATCCAAAGAGAGTTCTGGCTGCTGGCAAACATCCAGTTGGGGGTAGGCTTGTCACTCCAATCCTCCTCGCACCCAGTCCATAGAGATTCTGCTAAAGGTGATTTTTGTGTTATAAAAGTATTTCCGATTGTGTACAAAAGATGTCTCCTTTCATAAATGAGTTTCCTATAAGTTGTCTCATAGAAAAAGAAACAGAAAACGAAAGGTTTTCCTGACGCTTGCTGTACTTTGGTGATTAATCAGTATATAATACGAGTTTGTAAAAATTGTTAGAGATTATTTCTTTCTCTCTCTGGTCTAAGTTTTATGTTTGTATGTGTGTGGAGAGTAAGTTTTATGTTTGTGTATGAGAGAGAGAGAGAGTAAAATGTATGGTTCATGTCATGAAGAGACCTGGATGAAATTGGAGTAAGAAGTCATGAGAATGTCAGAGAATTGGTCTGGCGCGTAAGCTCCATTGAGAAGGGGATCGATGTAGTAGTTCTGAATGAAGTCACTGCTCCCCGCGCTCAGAAGGTGGATCGCCCCTGAAAATATGGCGTTGGCTTTGCTCCTCCCCACCAAACTCACCACTTTGCCTTGCCAGTCCTCGTAGTAGTTCAGCTGCTGAGGCAGTGAAATAGCTTGCTGCAATTACCAACCAAAAACAGTCCACTCAGCAAATAAGTATCTTTTCGCAAGGGAAAGACACAAGCTTGCATGTTGGAGACAAGTGACTATTGAAGCCAGGACTCACATATGTCTGGGCCGTCCCGTCGTAATAGCCAGAAGCAGCCGAGGCAAAGTTGGCTCCAATCAAGAGGTTTTTCCCGGTAGCTTCGCGGCTAAGGTAAGCTGGTTGGTAGGAAGTGAATCCGAGGTTCTCGGCTGTCCATGGCAAAACATACAAACTATTAGCTCGTGTTTGTGTCTGGTCTCTCTCGGAGAGAGAGAGAGAGAGAGAGAGAGAAGCTGAATTTTGTTTTGAGTACCCGTGAAATCTGTGGCAAGCTTTCCATTGCAAAACCTGCCAGTGGGTTGGTGAGAGGCGAAGTCTCTTCCATAAGGGGGGAAGTTGGCCTTGACAAGTGTGTAGAGATTGTTGTTGTTGCCTGCATCTACCACCGAGTCCCCAAAGATGCACAGTGCAGGCACAAGAGGATCCCCATGAGCCACCGAACCAAACAATGCAAGCATTGTGAGCAATCTCAAAAGCCCTTTCACAATTCTCATTTCTCTCCTGTTTTCCTCCATCAGAGAGAGAGAGAGAGAGAGAGAGAGAGAGGTGAATGGAGAAGCAAAGGTCAGAGAGGAGGATTTAAGGAGGGATGGTCAAAAGGGTGAAATTATAACTGCACGGAGGAGAGCAGAGTCCCAATAAAGCTTTGCTCATTCCAAGGCAAAACAGCATGTTTAGTACATCCTCATCCTTTAAGAGGGCTAATGCCCCCTTGTCCTCATTCTTCATTTATTTGGTAACGGTTACCTAAAAGTGCAAGCTTTGCCCCTCATTCTTAAAAGAGCCTGCTAAATGACGAAAGATCTTGTAAAAAGTGGATCAACCGGGGCTTGCATTGCAGTGGCGGGGTCATCACGGTCGCACTCCACCACCATTGGCGTCTCCAATCACTCAAAGATCTCACAATCTATATATTCAAAGACTGAATATCTTTTACTTCGTGAAACTAAGCACAAGAAGATTTTGGAAGCTAAGGACAGACAGTAATAGACTGCAAAATTTACTCCTCAGGGAAAAGAAATCAGTTCAGATAGATCATTTCCCTCCAAGTGGCATTTACAAGCAGTGTTCTCCTTGGACTTGGAGCATCCCAGGCATTAAGTAGTCCTGATGGACCGACCTCTTTAGATAGCTGGACACAATCACAATAAAGTGGGTTCTTCAATGCTCCTGCAAACACCTGGTAACATTTGCAGTGAGTGGAGTTAATGGAGTATCTACTTCTGGACATGGCTTGGAGGAGAGCTTTTACTTGGACCCAAGTCCTAATTTGGGTGCAATCACAACCACTGATCTCGTAAGACCTATGAGCGGAGCCCGCGTAAGACCAATAAAATGAATGGTTGTGATTAATCTGATCAGCTGGCTTAGGATCCAGGCGAGAAATTTCCTGGCTGGGGTTTTGCTTTTTTCTTTAGGCTAGAGTCATTTTTCACTAAGAATATAACACAATCCATCAATTCTCTTCAATGCCCTTTCTCACTATGGTAATTTGGCGTGGGTTCATGTCGCTTTCTCTTCCCTTGAGGACTGGACTCATAGTAGCATCGAATTAACGTGTCGAGTTGAACTCAGTGGCAAGAGAGTAAGCTTACAAGCAACAAGATTTGACGATATCTTAGCTTTACACCCCTTGTCAATCTCAAAGCCAAACTGGAATGGAGGAGAAAATGACGGTTTCGATCCAATGCTTTTAGTTTCGGTTTTCATCCATTGCTGGCTCTTCTTCTATTATTAACAAGCAGATCAGTACGTGCATCATTCTCTTCACGTTAACAGATGAAGTAGGTGGCCTCTCACTGTTCTTAAGCTCTCATTCACCAAACAGCTTGTAACATTGAAAACCTAGCTGCATCCGACACATTCCTGGATCGAATTAAAGCTGAGATCGAAGACGAGGGCCTATCTAGGGTCAAGCCTAGAAATTCGGTCTTCAGCTTCTACATCGGATGACAATCTTCCAAAGGGCCTGCATAGAAATGCAATGTCGACTTGACCAAGTTCAGTAGATATAGAGTTACTGTCGAAAGAACAAGGCGTTCATTACTCCTTTATCAGCATGTGGAAAGATCTTGTGTGATTTCGTAGAAAGTTTGGTGTGCACGCCCCTATGTCAACGAACGATTCATTTATGCATGATACACAGGCCTTGTGAAGGGATTTTGACACAAGCTACTTCTATCACTACTTGATTGTGATTTACTTTTATTTTTCGCTGCTTAATGAAAATGAGATTCATCATTGTAAGAAAGCAATTTGCATAGACAAACCAGAGTCCAGATAACTTTATTGATCACTGGGAACATCAAGAAACCCAGACCCGCTGACACTGCTTGTAGAGACTAAACTATTCACAAACTAATAGTTCACTCATCCAAGAGGAAAGACAAACATGTTTGGCCCAGAAAAAGCACCTCTTCCTGGCCTGACAGAGACGAGGGTAAGTGAAATTCTTTAGACTTTGAGAAACCCCACTGATGTAAGGGATCACAAGGTGTTTTTGTCTAAAGAATAACCGTTTAATAATCAGTAGTATCCAGAGAATCAAATGTCAAGCAACTTATTGAAACTTCTTTTATAATTTCCTATTCATTTGAGTAGCTAAAACTTTATTGTCGATGATAAAAATTAGTAATTATGAACCAATCTATCATCGTTAAAGTTACGATCAAGAGGTCCTTGTGAGAGATTTGCCATCACTTGGCGTCGCACACCCTCCAAGTGTCACTATGGCTCTACAAGGCGCTGAACTGGAACATCTCTCTCTCTCTCTCTCTTTTGATCTCTCAACTGGGCAGGCTACTAGTGATGTCCAAGTTCATTCTGGAGGCGATCCGCAGCGACATCTACATCATCATGGAGAAACCTCAATAGACCGCCATAGTTGGCTTCGAGCATCTAGGGACTTGAGAGTATAACCGGCATTGATAACTTATTGAGGGCAAAATACGAAGCTGAAGACAAACATTAATCCCCTCTATGAGCATATCGAAAAGTAGGTTTCATTTGAAAAGGTGTTTATGGACGCATTGTGCTTCGAAAAAGTCTTGCCAACCAACAAAAGTAATTATTTCAGGTACTTTGAATACCCAAAGCTTCATTTTCAAACCTTACCTGAAGGCACCCCAAGTCTCTTCGGGATTTCAGAGCTAAAAGGACCAGTCCGTGACCATATTGCCGCCACAGGTGCTAATGCTACAAACAATAATGGAATGATTTCGCGATTTCATTGTATCATCATTCTTCGTCTGCTTTGGAGGAGATTCTTAGGGTGGAGGAATTGGGGGCATCGGAGGTAACAGAGAGTAAAAATTCATACCACTACAGACATGTTCAAGGGCACAAGACGACGATATTCTAGATTAACAGACTTCATGGCATCCTGTTAATCCTCTCATGTTATTCTAGCAAAATTAGCTAGCTATCGATCTAAGAAGTCGGGAAATTTCAAAGAGTTGAAAAAGTATTCTCTCTGTTTGATATAGACTTAGGCTTGGAGTTTGATAAACTATGGTGCAGTTGATGGTAACTACCAACTGCAGTTACAACTATCTCAAGACATTATTAAGATATATATTTATAGAGTCAGCTTAGGTTCAAAATAAAGCTCGCTGACTAAAATTTCATGAAGACTTGAACCTATCCTAAAACAAAGACCATGGAACAAAGCTCCTGACCCGACAATCGACAGAAATCTGTAAAGCGGGTTTTAGCATGAGTGTCATTGAAGGTAATCTCTTCATAACTTACATAGAGGACAAAGAACAGAATGATGAGATACACGAAAGCCAGACCTGCTTGTTTCCTATATTAGATACCTGATTCACTCTCTCCAATCTAGACTTTGATGCCGCATCCAAAAACACTTGGATATCCTTATGGATCCAAGGCGGACAAAACCCTCTTGATTAGAACAATTGGGTTTAATTCTTACATTTAATCGAAATGCATCAACAGTCGGAAAGCCTCATTATTGGTGACCATTGCATAATCATATCCAAGACCATCTGCACGCTCCTGAAACTCATCCATCTCGGACCAAGTCACTTGGATTCCAACCAATACATTTGCACCAGTTTCACCCTGTTTAAGTGCAGATCAGATTTAAGGTTTGAACCAAAGGATGATAATCGACAACCGCTCGTATTCTTGAGGCAGCTAATCAGAAATACGTACCTGTCCACGGTAGTGAAACAAACTAATGTTCCATCTAGGACTGAAGGAATCCAAGAACTTCATCAGAGCACCAGGCCTTTCTGGGAACACAAAACGACAAAGAACCTCATCTTGAAGGTTTAAGCGGCCCCCCATCTGGAAGAAAAGAAAAGATCAATGTCATCTTACCAGCCTAATTATAGCAATGCCCTCTGTTTTAGGCACACTACCAGAGGTTAATGTGATGCATAAGTTATTAGTGAGGGAAAACTAAGAACAATGATCTAGCAACTGGAATTTTCAAGAAGAAAAATGGATCTACTTATTCTAGCTTCTTCACCATGAACTAAAAGGACATTTAGCTGATAGAAATCCTTTCTATTGAATAGGAAAGAAAACAA